CCGTCTGTAAATATGTTATGAAATTACCGATCGATTTATCCGTCTGTAATAATTTTATTAATTATTAAATATTTTACTTATTTATAACATTATTTTTTTTATAGAACCCCTCCCCCTTATATTCTTATTATTTATTATTAATTATTTCTCCATATTATATTTTTATAACTTTGAATTATTGTCGATTAAGAGAAATGTCATTGACAGGATTCAACCCAAGCACCTTAGAGTCAGAGGTCGATACTCCAACCACTAAGCTACCAGAATTTCTTGATAACAATTTACAAATAAATTATATTTATATACAAATATACAAATACATTTATATATATTTATATATATTTATATACATTTATATATATTTATATATATTTATATATTTTTTTTATATATTTATATATATTTATATATATTTATATATATTTATATATATTTATATATATTTATATACATTTATATATATTTATATATATTTATATATATTTATATATATTTTTTTATATATTTATATATATTTATATATATTTATATATATTTATATATATTTATATACATTTATATATATATTTATATATATTTATATATATATTTATATATATATTTATATATATTTATATATATATTTATATATATTTATATATATTTATATATATTTATATATATTTATATATATTTATATATATTTATATATATTTGTATACATTTATATATATTTATATATATATATATATATATATATTTATATATTTTTATATTTTATATTTATATATTTTTATATTTTTATATATTTTTATATTTTTATATATTTATATATATATATATATTTATATATATTTATATATAATTAAATATTTATTTTTAAAATTACTTAATTTAATAAATTATTATAAATTAATCTAATTATGATTAAATTAAATTATTAAATAAAAAATATTTTATTTTTTAATTAGTGAATAATTAAATTATATTATATAATTTTACCGACGGATTTATCCGGTCGGTAAATAATTTTTAATTTACATATGAATTTACCGACGGATATATCCGTCGATAATTACTTGTTAATTTATCGATGGATTTACCGACGGATATATCCGTCGGTAAATTCATCTATAAATTACCGACGGATTTATCGACGGATATATCCGTCGATAACTAATAATTATTTTACCGACGGATATATCCGTCTGGTAACATCAAATTTCACAAATATTTTATATCCGTTTGGTAATTTCCGATTCGGTAATGATTATTTTCCGACGGCTACAATTCCGTCTGTAAATATCCGTCGGTAATACGCGATTTTCTTGTAGTGTAAAAATAAAAATCAAAACTATTATTATGTTAAATTTATTAAAAGTATAATTAAATCTCTATTTTCTTCAATTTTTTAATATAAATTTTTAAAATATAAATTAATTTCAATTGAAATTTTCAACTGAAAAATAAATTCAAGAATATTTGTTATTAAACTTTTCTTAAACAATGTATTGAATAGTTAACATCACTCTAGTCTTAATTTATTACAATTTAAATTTTTAATAAATTTGATTTATTACAATTCATTTTGTTAATATTGAGACCAAAGTTTATTTTTAAAGTATATTTTAAAAATTAAATTATTTTTAAAAAATAAATTGTAAAAAATATACTAAAACAATTAAAGTATATTTATAAAAAAATTTAAATATAATAAAAAAATAATATTCATTAGCGATCGATTTCAATTCGGTCGCTATTTTCTCATTAGCGACCGATTATAATTCGGTCACTATTTCAATTTGTAATTCGGTCGCTAAATCGATCGCTAAATGATTTTTTTATTTTAGTGTGGAATAGCCATCGATTTAGCGATCGAAATTTTGCGACGCAAATTATTGGTCGCTATTTCGATCGCTAAATAACAAAATGAAAACCAATTCATATTTTGGTCGCTAAATCGAGTCGCTAATTGCGACCGAATTAAAATGATCGCTGAATCGAGTCAGCTAATTGCGATCGAATTAAAGTGGTCGCTAAATCGGTTGCTATTTGCGACCAAAATTAAATCGATCGCTATTTGCGATCGAAATAATTCGATCGCTAATTTTGGTGGCTAAATGTCATTTTTCTTGTAGTGTTCTCTTTATATATACAATCTTCAACCGCTTTTAATAATATAATAATAATTAAAAATTATTTTTATTTTTTTAAGTGTTTTTATATTTATTATATTAATAAAAATTAGATTGTATTGAGAGTTGTTTTTATCTGTCGATAACTTCAAATAAATTAAGTTTCATAATAAAAAAAAGGTGACATAACCTTTTTTTTAGTTTATTAATTTGTTTTTTTTCTTCCCATTTAATTTACTAATTCGATAGATTAATAATGGTACGAGACGGATTATTTATTTAGTCCATTTTTAAAAAAAATTATATATTAAAGTTAAAAATAAAAATATTATATTTTTTTATAATATTATAAACAATAATTAATTAAATTTAAATTATAGTTATAATTAATTATTTTAATATATAATAATAATATTTTTTTAATTTATCTAATAAAATATTAGTTAATAATAAAAACAAAAAATATTTATATAATTAAATATGAATTTAAAAATATATATAAAAAATATTAATAGACTAACGGCTAATCATCAATTAAAATAAGATGAACTAAATTTTGTAATTTATTTTAATTATGACAAAATTAGCCCCGTCTTACTTATTCTTTTAGGACAAAAGTTAAGGGCTGATCATAATAAAATCAATTAACTCGTTTTTCTCATTTTGTATTTACGGTTGGTGGATGAGTAATATATATATATATATATATATATATATATATATATATATATATATATATATATATATATATATATATATATATAATGTGATGACAGTGAATGTGAATGTGTGTGATTTTTGAAAAAAAAATTTTACAAGTAAAATTTTTATTTTAACTCAAAATGTAAAATTTACTTGGATAATGTTTCGATATAAAACTTGGCAAAAACATGGAAATATATATATATATATATATATATATATATATATATATATATATATAAGTTTTTACTTAAAAATATAGATTTCTTTTAATAGAACTAAAATATATCTCTTTTAATTGTGTATTTAAACAAAATCTAAATACATATAAGTTCAGAAATATGTCCTTCTCTAGAATTAGAATATAATCCCCTCATCCTAAATTTTAGAAAACAAAACTACACTAATTTAATTTTAATAAACATATTATATAAAAGTATATATAGAGTCCAACTAAGAAAGAGTGACCAAAATAAAATGATTATAAATTAAGGAAAAAAGAGAAAGATGTTCCATCATTTCATTTATTTGGTTTAGACTTTATCTACAATCAATCCTAGATATTCAAAGATGAATTAAAAACACCTACCACCATGTTGGTGTGAGCACCCAATTGCATGATGTAGACAAATTTCTAACCAGTTGACCATAACCCTAAACTCATAATTACCATCTTTCTTTAACTTCACTAATTACAGAACTAGTAAAGCAGCATGTGTCATGTGTTTTTCTTTTACATACCCAAACAGTGATAGAGAATGAGATGGGAAAGGAAGCTGAAAGGTGACAGAGCTATTACTTTCCCAAAAGTTAGACTGATATTGGTTTGAACAAATCATGATGTACACAGTTCATAAACAATCTGCTTTCTGAAAGCCATTTCTCAACTAGACCATGTTTTGTGATCTAAGCATCCCCCATAAGTAACCATCTTTCCTGCTTCCTTGCCCTTAATCATATATGTACGTATCAATTAATAATCATCATCTAGATGCTTCTGTACTTTCAAAAGATTCCACATGATGAACTTAAGAAAAGAAAAATCCTTTCCATATGCTAACTTCTTTAACTTAATTATGACCACATGATTACGTTAATAGACAAAGAATGCTCAAATTTTTGTTTTGTTTTAGAAATTAGTGTATCCATATATTATTTTTAAATGCAAATCTCTGGTGCATCTCTCTCTTTCTTCTTTCTCTCATTTCTCCACAAAAAGTAGGTAGACAATTTAATTGTTTAATAATTAGTTTGATCAATTCATATTGTCATGAACTAATCTTACTAAAAAGAATGGCAAACATAACATTGTAATTGATCAATTTTGTAATATGATTTATTTTATCAACATGTTTTCATATAATAGATTTATTTTATATCAAATTTTATCAAATATTTTCATATATATATATATATATATATATATATATATATTACCATTGTTATTATTATAATTATCATTTTATCATTTTCATTACTATCATTCTCACCATCATTATTCTCATATTTTATCGTATACATTGTTTCATCATATTATCACCCTAATTAACATAATAATCAATATCACTTCTATTATTATGTTGTCAATATTTTTACTGTTGCCACTATCCCTATTATTTTTTATATCCGACTATATTATTATCAAAATAGTTAATTATCACTATGTTAACTAGCCCTAAATCATACTTAATGTCACGATGTTTCTCATCATATTATCGTTATTATAATAATCATTTTCACTTCATTACCACCTCTATATTTGTAGTACTTATTGTTCCTATCATTTACAAATGTAATTATCACTTATTCATAATTTAAATAAATATAAAATAATTAGCTTAATTATATGCTTTAAATTTCTATAGATGTATTTCATATTTATCAGAAAAAAACTTCCAGAAGAACGTAAATGGATTTGCATTGCAAACTTTATGTGACATGCAAGAAAGAATGAGTTAACATGGTTTTCTCGTTCCTCGTTTTGCCCAAGGTAGCCAAGCCTTAATTTCCAAGTATGCCTCCATCATTTACCTAATAACCAAAGAAGAAGAGCCAGGAGGAAGCAATATTACTATATAAGGGTCCGTTGGCATGTCATGCATGAATTAAGCACATCATAAGTTATAAGAGAAATAAGTTGTTTAACACAAGAGTCAGGAGCTAGGGTTGTGAAGTCTGAATAAAATGGACTCTTGGGTTAGAATGTTGTTTCTCATTGCTTGCATTGTTCCTGCTTTAGTTGAGTGCAAAGTGAGGCACTACAAATTCAATGTAAGTATGCGATTAGTATTCTTTCCTGGCCTCGTTGGGGTATATACATGGTTTCATGTTTTTTAGAGTGCAGGAGCTTAAACAATAATATAATATATTCAAACATATGCATGCAATTTATGCTTTATTTAGACATCAATCAAAATATACAGCTTTACAGTGTCTGAATTCAACTGCAAGTTTCTGACCATATCATATAAAACATATAACAACACAAACTCTCATTTTTATTTATAGATTTGTGCATGCATCTTTTAGTAATCTTAGTTATTTGTCTTGAAGATAAAATTTTCACCTAAATTTCAGTCATGCATGGATATTGAGTTCATAATTGGAAGATATAGACCTAAATCAGTCACTTCTTCCAAAGCGCTATAAAATTTTACTCAATGCAAATGGTCCCAGCCTTATACTTCATTTTGGTAATGGGTGCAGGTGGTGCTGAAGAATACCACTAGATTATGTTCAAGCAAATCCATTGTCACCGTTAATGGGAAGTTTCCAGGACCCACGCTTTATGCCAGGGAAGATGATACAGTGCTGGTCAAAGTCAGAAACCTTGTCAACCACAATGTCACTATCCATTGGTGAGACTTCATTTTTTTATTGCTTCAAGTTACGTGCAAGAAGTATTGTGGAGAAAAATAAAAAATTAAGCAAAATAATCTTGAATGCTAATTGGAAGACTATGACTATTTTGTCAGGCATGGTGTGAAACAAATAAGAACTGGTTGGGCTGATGGGCCCGCATACATCACACAGTGCCCAATTATTCCAGGACAATCATATTTGTACAACTTCACCATTACAGGACAAAGAGGAACCCTTCTTTGGCACGCTCATGTTAACTGGCTAAGGTCAACTCTCCATGGTGCCATAGTTATCTTGCCAAAGCGTGGTGTGCCATACCCTTTTCCAAAACCAGATAAAGAGTTGGTCGTAATATTAGGTGAATTCAAATAATTAACTAGGGGCCTTCACTGATTTATATTTTCCTTCACTAATGTTGATTAGTCCTCAATACAACCAGATTTTAAATTATAATTTAATATGGTGATTAACTGTAGGAGAATGGTGGAAAAGTGATACTGAAGATGTTATCAACGAAGCTCTCAAGTCAGGATTGGCACCAAATGTTTCAGATGTTCATACCATAAATGGCCTACCAGGGATTGTGTCTGTGGCCTACACAAGGTAAGTTCTACAACTTGTCACTTCTCTACTTCCTTACATGTATATATATGGTTTTCAATTTTTCATTAAGTTCTGTAGTACTATAGGTATGCTTGATTGATTCCTTCTTGGTTGAACATAAGCAGATGTGTACAAGCTTCCTGTGGATAGTGGGAAGACCTACCTATTGAGAATCATCAATGCTGCACTCAATGAGGAGCTTTTTTTCAAAATTGCTGGCCACTTATTCACTGTGGTTGAAGTTGATGCTTCATATGTAAAACCCTTCAAGACTGACAATCTTTTGATAGCCCCTGGCCAAACCACCAATGCCCTTTTAAATACTGACCAAAACTCTGGCAAATACACAATTGTAGCCTCTACTTTCATGGATTCTCCTGTGGTAGTTGTGGATAATTTGACTGCTACAGCCATATTACACTACATTGGAACTCTTGCCACCTTCCCTACAGTTCTCACCACACCTCCTCTAAGAAATGCCACCCAAGTTGCTAACAATTTTACCAAGTCTCTTAAAAGCCTTAATTCCAAGAAAAACCCAGCCAATGTCCCATTAACAGTTGATCATTCACTTCTCTTCACTATTGGATTGGGGATTAACCCTTGTCCATCTTGCACAGCTGGCAATGGGAGTAGAGTAGTGGCTGCTGTCAACAATGTGACATTTGTGATGCCAACTACTGCTTTGCTTCAAGCACATTACTTCAACACTCAAGGGGTGTTCACCACCGATTTCCCTGGCAACCCTTCTCAAGTTTACAACTACACAGCGTCTCCACCGGTGGCGAGTTCCCAGACCACAAATGGCACCAAGGTTTATAGGCTAGCATTCAACTCTACAGTTCAGGTTGTTTTGCAGGATACTGGAGTCATTGCTCCCGAGAGCCACCCAGTTCATCTTCATGGGTTCAATTTCTTTGTTGTTGGCTCAGGTGTAGGAAACTATGATCCCAAAACAGATCAAAGTACCTTTAACCTTGTAGATCCTGTTGAGAGGAACACAATTGCAGTTCCAACTGGAGGATGGACTGCGTTCAGATTCAGAGCAGATAATCCAGGTAAAAAGTCTTGGGCCCAAGGACGGATTAAAAAAATGTGGAGTCTAAGATTGAATAGAAGTTTAACGTAGTAGTTAATTCCCACTGATATATAATACCATGTGAATTAATGCCTAAAAGCAAGTCACAACTCTCAATTTGAACAAGTAAAAGATTGCCAAATGGTTTTGTATAAAAAATTAAGCTTGTATATATAATTTCGTCAAGAATATTTTAGGATATTGATGTCAAAACCATGCTATCCCCCTCAATTCATAACCATCCTTACCATGGTTTTGTACGAATGCATCGAATTTTATTGCACTGCCAATCTCTTCATATTAACATCAACTGGTTTCATGTATTTGACAGGAGTGTGGTTCTTGCACTGCCATTTCGAGGTGCATACAACGTGGGGGTTAAAGATGGCATTCTTGGTGGACAATGGTAAAGGTCCTAATGAATCATTGATACCCCCACCAAATGATCTTCCAAAATGCTGAGACTTTCGGTCAATAGAAAAGCACAAAAACAAGGGAAGGCCTTCCTATGCAGAAAGAAGCTTTGGAAGGATACAGAGAAGCCAGGCAAAGAAGACAATGAAAGTGACGGTGGTTATTTAATAAGCGGATTTGTCCGATTTGCTTTTTGAGTTAATAGGGGCATTTCTTCACTTACGTTCTGCAAATTGGAGCCAGCGTTTTGGTTTTCTTTGCAGACACACTTCTTTTCTTTCTTTATTTTTATTTTTTTCGTTAAAGCGATACAGATCATTTGTACTTGAGATCAATGTGTGCATATTGAAATAGAAGTGTTACGTATACTTCATTCATTGTGTGGTTCATTCTGACATTTAAGAAGATATGATCATATCAAAACCCAAACCCAAACCCAAACCCAAATTATTACATTTTTTAGTGTAATACTAGGATACTATATACTACATTAATTTTCTTTTAGGCCATTGGTATCTTTTACCTTATTTTCTTTTCTCATTTTTTTTTCTTTAAAAAAGAACATAAAGATACTTTCAATTGAAAAAGGTAACGAAAATCATAATATATGCATGTGGGGTTTAGTTTAGTCATAGAAACTCAAATTTATTAATCACCACAAATATAACCTTTTAGTGAAACGAAAACCCACAGTTTCGACATCTAAGCAAGAGGATAAATATTATACTTTTGTTCATAAGAACATTGGGAAAGTGGGAGCAAAGAGAAGTGTGATAGTGGTGTACAAGTGTAAACCATGAACAACGAGATTGCCATGTTGTGGTTAGAATGATCCATGGCAATTATGCAACACCGTTAGGTCGACAGTGGAACCTTTTCTTACTATTTTCTTTTGTACTTTGACATTAATTATTGTAAAGTATTCATAATTATCTCTCTTTCTTTTCCTCTCACTTAGTTGGTAGTATTTATTAATACATTAGTTGAATATTTGCATTTCATTTGAACATATTCATCTCTTTTTGCTCTAGATAATAGGATTACTACTCTTTTTAAAGAATTCAGAAAAGGGAATGGAAAATAATTTCAAAATGATTTTTTTTCATTGATGAAAAATTTCCCTAGGAGTGTGGTGAAAATTTTTCCCAAAACCAAAATGTGTGATAAAATGTTATATCGATTACAAATATAATAAATTATATCGATTAAAAATAGAATAAATTATAGGAGAATCCAATCTCAATTAATTTTCCATGACTAAGTTAAATATTTCACATTTTTAATATTAATTTTCTTCTTTTCTCATGTGAGATTATCATTTTCTACTATGTTTTAATCAAACTTTTGTTTTAAGAAGTATGATAGATGTTTTGTTCTAGATATAAAAACTTAGTGAGTTACATAAAAAATTAAAAATGTATTCTTTAATTTATTTATTTATTTATTTTACATCTGAAAATATTATTGAAAAGAAAATTGATAGTCCTTTATCTACAACTAAATTCTCGTAGAGGTAAGATTAAAGAAGAAGTAATCAATTAAAGAATAAATTGAAAGAAGTGAAAAATAAAGCAAACAAAAACAAATATAATTTTCACATTGAATGAAAATCGTAAATGTACCTAAAATAAACCTATGAATATCTATACAAGAAAAAAAAAACATTAAAAATATTTTAGTAATTTTATTTACACTTACTTTTGCTCTCTATTGAACAAAAATATAAAAAGGACATAATCAGATAGAATAAAATAAATAGTATCACACATTTTTTTTTACAAACGTTGTAAAAAAATAGAATGAAACTAGAATTTGGTTAAAATGCATTGATGATATAAAACTTTTAACACTATTATATGATTAAAAATTATTTTGTACAATAAAACTATTGATTTTTGAAGTAATTTCAAAAATTGTATTTAAATTTATTTATAATAATTGATAGCCAAATATTTACATTAAAATTATATAAATACAATAAAAAATTACATTAACTAAAAATAATTTTTTAAATTACTTACCTGTATATTTAGGCTATATAAAAAGTGAAAACTTTTCAATGCATCTATTTATAGATGTAAAAGATTCATTTTTTACATCAATTCATTTGATATTAATGTAAAATTATAGTTTATTTTAGTAACCGATGTAAAAAAAATATTTTATATTAATTTTAGGTGAAAAAATTTAAAAAATATATTTTATATATTGATTATTAAATAAATTAAGTGAAAATTGTGTAATTAGTACATTAATTAACTAATAAAAAAGAACTTAGTCAAAAAAGAAAAAATGTAACAATCATAAAAATAATTAAAAAATATTATTGTAATTTATTTACATCATTCCTCGATAATAATAATATAAAAGAGTGTCATAAAATATAATTTTACAAAAAAAAAAAAACTAAAATCACATTAGTAGTATATTTTTTTAATGAATAATAAAATGTGAAAGACACTCCTTGGACAAAATGTTAACTATTCGATAAGAATTGTGTTATCCCACATAATAAATAATTGTGTGTTTCTATTTATTTTTTACAAACCAACTTCTTTCTTCTCTAACTTAACATACAATTGTAACGCAAAATTAGTTAAATTAAATCGCATTAATATTTATTTTCTTTAAAATAGTCCCTGAATGTTTGCATAAATACTAGAATATATCTTGTTAGAACTAAAAGTAATGAATATTTGTTAAGAGAATAACTCTAATTAAAAATTTATAGTGTAGTCATAAATAATAAAGAAATGTCATTGCGTAATAACCCTCGCGACAAAATTTAGAACACAATAAATAAGAATGAAAAATATGAAAAACAATTAATAATGCGATAAAAAGAAGACCAAAAAACTTACTTATTTAATTTTCATACTTGTATAATTTTACATTTTGTTCTTTTAATCTAAATTTTCTTATTTTAATTCGTACGCGTATATTTTTTAAATCGTTTTAATTCATAAGAATGTATTTTTAATTTTTGTAAAATTTAATTGTTATAATTTTACACGTCAAAAACCAAATCAGATTAAAAAGTATATTCCAACATACTAAATCGAATAGCTTTGAAACACAGGGAAAGAAATCACGTAAACTTTTTAAACTCAGAAGAAAATAGTTGCATAAATAGCATAACCAAAAAATTAACGGTAGATCATGGATTCTTAGGTTGAGTTAAAAACGTTGGTGTGATTTCTCCGTTTGTCAATTTGTTCATGAGTTGACAAAGACAAGTTCGTGGTCTCACTCAAAACCCGAACCAAAGATTGTTAGTGAGTCACTGTCACCTTATTAGTCTCCCTCTCAGCCCCCACAAACATCCTCTGCGCCAATCACAACTCAACCCCTTTGACTATCTCTCTCCTCTCCTCTGTTCCATAGATCGCTGTCTTTCAATCACTTCACACATCTGACACATTTCTCTTCACTCATTGTACCACCCCTGCACTGCACACACCTTACAGCCACTTCAATTCTTCTTAAAATCTTTAGCTTTTTGCTTTTCCCAGTTGCCCCCTCTTCACTGTTTTTGGTCCTATCAAAGATTCTACCACTATCAGTCCAATACCACTTAGATACGTGTATCTTCTATGCTCTTGGCAACCCTACCAATTATTGAGTGTCACTCTATAATTTTGATTTGGGTTTAGCCTTTTCTGTCCTCCTTTGGTTGTTATGGTGAGTCTTTCCTCTTCTCTTAGATCTAAAGAGTTCCTTACGGGTTTATGCTTTGCCCTTCATTGATTCTCTCCGGTTTTGGAACTTTCCTCCGGTTTTGGAAAGAAAGCCTCTTTAGATTCTTTTGTCCAATATAGGCTCCTTTCCTGTGCACTCCTATCTCGGGTATCTCACACTCTGAACTTTTCTTTGAGAGAAAGAGAGTTGATTTCAAAAATTATTGTTTTTGACATGCTTGCTATGTTCAATTGTCAGTGAGATCAATGAATAGGGCAATTGAAGTACTGTCTCCAGCCTCCTATCTCCAAAATTCCAACTGGTTGTTCCAGGAAAGCAAGGGAGCAGGATGGACTGCTGAAGAGAACAAGCTGTTTGAGAATGCTTTGGCTTACTATGATAAGGACACCCCAGATAGATGGATGAGGGTGGCAGCCATGATTCCAGGGAAAACTGTTGGTGATGTGATTCAACAGTACAGAGAACTTGAGGAAGATGTGAGTGTCATTGAAGCAGGTTTGATCCCAGTTCCTGGATATACTACGAGTTCTTTCACATTGGACTGGGTTAACAGCCAAAGCTATGATGAGTTCAAGCAGTTTTGTAGTGTTGGTGGGAAAAGAGGTGCATCCACTAGGCCATCTGAGCAGGAAAGGAAGAAAGGAGTGCCATGGACTGAAGAAGAGCACAGGTAATCAACTCCTTTTCTTCACCTTTTTTTTTGGTGTTTGTTGTGCCTTCAGCAGTGATCCCAATTTAGATCAATGTTCAAATTTATGGTTGACTCAAGTCATAAAGAATCATTGGTTAGCTAGGATGCTAAAAAGCGTTCTATTTAAGTTGTTTAATTATATACTCATGTTTTAAAAAGAATATGAAACTGTGATGTTATTCGCAATATCAAGGTTTTTGAGGTCCTAGGGACTACAATTATGGCCACATCAGACGAATATGCATTTATTTGGACTTTGCTATCAACTGCATTTATCTGTACTTTCCCATCAACTGCTTATCTTAATTTTACATAAAGTAGTGTATAAAACGGCAACTACAACTGTAACCGCTATATAAAACCTTGTTTATTGGTTGTTAGCTTAGGATGTTTGATCTATGTATTTGGTTGGCTGAGTGCTTATAAATATCTGCATAATTTTTATGTTATTTTGCTTGAAAATTGGTTTTTGTGTTGGTTCCTTGCCTTTGCATATTTGTCTAAAGTTCAGGGTTTTTGCTATTTACCTATTTTGATGTCTTTGGTTATCTAAAAAACCACAGGCAATTTCTGCTGGGTCTCAAGAAATATGGTAAAGGGGATTGGAGAAACATATCAAGGAACTTTGTGACCACAAGGACACCCACTCAGGTTGCAAGTCATGCTCAGAAGTACTTCATCAGGCAGCTTAGTGGAGGGAAGGACAAGAGGAGATCCAGTATCCATGACATCACAATGGTCAATCTTCAAGAAACAAAATCTCCTTCATCAGACACTACCAGGCCTTCTTCACCACTAAAGAATCAGAAATTGTCTAGCATGGTACCGGTTAAGCAGGAATATGACTGGAAATTGCCATGTGAGGGCATGCCTATTGTTTTCAATTCAGCAAATGGAAACATGTTCATGGCAGCACCACTGCATGGGATTTCTTCATATGAGTCTAGACCACAGGAGCATAATATACTTAGACAATCTCCATGGATGCCAGTTTTCACCTGGTGATACTAGTGTGCAAATGCAATTGATCCAACATCAATTATTTGCCCATGTCATTAGGGTTTAGAGTTTTGAAGGTACAAAAATTTTAAACCCTTTTGAGTGATGTTGGATTGCTTCATAGATGGTTTGTGTGAATATGTTGAGGGACTTGAGTTAGTCCTTAGTAATTAGAATGTATGTAGAGATTAGTTCGAATCTTTTTCCGACATCAAGATTCTGGGGCTAGTCTGTCTGAGAAGTTATGTTCCGTGATATGTAATATGATCTTCTGATTACATGTTTGGTAATTTGATTGTAGTTAGATGGAAAGTTTGAGTGAGCTTTCATCTGATGTTCATCTTCCCATGTAGGCAAGAGTTATCTTCAGATTTCCCTGAGGAAGAGGAGTTATCTCTTACCTTATCAGAAGATGCTTCAAATAAATATGCAGTTCCAAGTTTACATAAGTAATTAAATAAAAACATCAATCATGTTGATGCACTAGTGGTGTAATATAAAACAATTTGGACTGTTAATTTTTATTAGCTTATATTAGGAGCGTATTTAAAGCCATAAAATATGATTATACCAGCAAGCTTTTTCATATGTGGTGAGGAATTGGACAGAACTTTGGTCCTCGTGTACAAGAAAATGTGATCATAAAGCATTTGATATGAAACATAATGTCTTGGAACCATTGGTTCTACAACTTGGTGGACATTAAGATCTAAGGTGAAAAGTCCACTGCAATAATTTATTGTTTAATGTGGTTGCTCTAATTAAAGTCCACGAGTTACTTTTGATTATATATATGTTGATATAGCTGAGAAATGGTATATTGATCTTATGTGGAGAATGAATATTGATAGTGAAGATTGAAGAACAAATGTAGTGGGTAGAATTAATTATCACAGGGAGGATTCATTCCCTCACATGCTTTCTTTTTAGGCAAGTGGAAGCAGTTGATTTGAGCACTAGGCCATCTCATCATATGCCTGCTCCAGAATTTGCTGACTCACACTGCATTTCTCGAAGTGACACATAAAATGTACTCATTTGCTTTACTTGATTCCACGGAAGAAAAGTTCCTTCATTTAGTTTTTTATTTTTCCCATGATAGTTCATTTATAATTTAATTAACCTCTTAAAACTTTTTTGTTCACATAAAACTTAGATACAAACAATTCTTTCAAGTGTTGTTACTGTTTTCTTCTATTCAAAATTATTAAAACAGTCAAAAACAAAAATTTTCATATATTCTTTTGTGATGCGATGATAAATCGCCGTTATATTATCATTATTATTTTATAGCAGATATTAAAAATACGACGTAATAATAATAGTTGATACATCATTAATCGATATTGTCACTTGATGATAAAGATTAAGAACGTCAACAGAGGAAAAATTTTAGAAATTTCACTAGTCAAAATTTTAATTTAGAACGAAAAAAATCTGAAAACAATTAAATATAAAAGCAATAAATCATTTACTGTAAAATATGCATAATAAAAGAATCTATAAAGTGTTGTATACGAAACTCTATTTCTGATTTAAGAAAATCATCGACAAAACTTAAAACAAACTGTTTCTAAGTTGTTATTTTTATAATAATTATTTTATATGATTTCTAATTAATTAACTCGGTAAATAAAATTGTACTTGTTCTGTAAACATACTGGTTTTAAGATAATTTTAAGAACTTAATTGGTAAAATAAAAATAGAAATAAGTTGACTGAGATTGATGTCCAATACGGACTTTGTGACGGAATCTTGACCATAATTCCATATATGAAAGCAAAGGTCACAAATTTGAGCATCAAATAAATGGTGTTTTTTTTTTTTCTCACTTTTTCACTTTTTTGTGCCCATAAGCATCTAAGTATTTCTTTTTATTCTTGCTTCTTGTCTCTTTGAGCATCGTGATTTTATTTATTTTACTTTTATAATCTTCAGTGCATGACCCTGTTCAGGTATTTCCCTTGGCTCTAAACTTTGACTTGTTTCCTCCACATGAATAATTGATTAGTACAAAATAAACCATGGGATCATGTTGTAGTTCAAATTTCAAAACCCAATTTGTTTTGGAACCTCATGCCTTTACGTGGAGCAACTTTTGTTGGATTCTGTTGATCAACCAGTGGAAAATTGTGGGTTAGGAACACCTTTACTTTTGTACTTTAGGCCCGGATTATATATATATATGCTATGATTTTGTTAAAAAGAAATTGATTCGCAAAAATTGTTGGTACGGGGTTTGGAGAAAAATTTCGATGAAGACTTGTGTGAAAGGAAAGTACAATAATATTTTTTGTTAGTTAAAAATTAATTTATATATAAGCTGAAATCATAATTCGAGAAATTAATTTTAAATTGTTGTAAAAAATAAATAAAAATAAAAAACAAAGACACTGTAGGCACTAAAATTGTTGCTTTTGTTATTGGTGTTACTAATTGTTGGCACTAAAATTGTTGTTGCCTTTGCAACGTTTGCTTAAAGCCAATACTAATCATTCTGCTTGAACATACAGTTTTGGTCCCACCCACCAAAACCACAAAACTTCTGAAGCAATAATAATTGCACCTAAAAAGTTTCTCCATGATAAATGACAAAAATCCACTTCATTTCAGTAGTGAAGGCAAAGAGCACTTCAAATACTTTATTCCCCATCTATTTGATGAAATGATTACCCCTGCTTGGTTAATGACCAATACCATAAGATCACTCACATACAGGGAGTGTTTGACTGGGTGATATATATTTTTAAGTTCTTTTTGGATTTTTATGTTTGATATGAATATTTTGAAAGTTAGTTTCAGAAATTGTTCTTAGAGGAAACAAATTTTATTTTATAAAAAAAAAATATTTAAAAGAAAGTCTTCAAGAAAAAGTGTGTCCAAACTTAGTATGTGGTCAATGGCATTGTCTAACATGGATGCCACTCTAGACATTATATAAAAAAGTTGAACAATGAGGGAGAAAACAATCTTGTTGAGGAGACATTCAGATACATAAAAGAGAAAAGAATTATAACAATGCACTAGGGTTTTTTTATTAACAAAGTGATCCATGGTTGGGGAACACTATGACATGCTAAAAGCTCATATGGTGGTATGAGTTGTTCTTCTCTGTTTTATTTGCGTAAGTAATATATCATTCATTTTTTGTCTCTTCCTTTTCATACTGCAATAGCTTCAATTTGATCATCATGTTAATATTAAAGGAAGAAACTATCAATCTCACATTATTGGATGTTAGGATAACCTAACAATCTAAAATTATTAAATTATAGCCTTGAAAATATGAAATTTAACCTAACTTTACACTATAGGAAGAAAACAGAGAAGTTAATTAAAAAAATGAAATGCAAAACCAAGATGGAATACCTCGTTGTAATTGCTACATACAAACTTGATTTAAGGGTTGCTTGTAAGTTGAATATATTTTATCCATTTGTTTATCATCTTCTATACCTGTGAATTAATGTATGTTCAGCCACATTAACCATATACAATATCAAAAGTAAAACTAAGTTCTGAATAATTATGATAGTATTGACCAATATGGTTAATTGATAATCTTATCTTTTGAAAAAGTCGTCAGCTTTATTCTCTGGGGATACGAAGGTTTAACTGAAAATAATAGGGGATTAAGATGTCCTCTACTTTTAGAGAGAGATTATCTATAGTCATCCAGGTTGACTATAGACATGAGCAATATCACTATATTCTTACACATGAATTGGTAGAGGCCACAAAAGTGTAATCAATATTTTACATTTTGACTCAATATAAGAGTGGTTGTAATAATTATATGGAATGCGATTATAGTTGATGAGGATCATTTACTTATCAAAAGAGTGATCCCATTATGACAGTGAAAAGATGCAAACTTTCTTCTTGCACTTGATTTTTTGCACTTTTAAAAGGAAAGCAAAGGGAGATAGAAAAAGTGGCTCTTCTTCTCTGCCTATTATACCATGAAAGGGGGAAAGGGTTGAAAATATCATAAAGCTTAAAATTTCTTCATAATTTTATTGATGAGTTACCTATTGAACTTTTCTTCAATATTAAATAATATATCAAGAATATGTTTAAGAGTTTTGACAATTATTTACATGTCGTAACTTAGAAGAGTATCCTCTAAACCTTGATCTTTAAGAGAAAAAGATGACTAAAATAATGCACAGAATCACCGAAGCAAGTTTTGATGGCTTTCATGTGTTTTTGTTCCATTGTTTTCATTTTGTGACGTCTATGACATTATGTAGCCAGTGAATCAATTCAGGCTTTTTCTTTTCCCACTTTCACAAATTTTTTGGATATTTCTATTTATTTTCGGAATCTATTTTCAAGAGATGTCCAATAATTTTATGAGATACAAGAAGAATGAGCAATCTCTTCGCAAAGGATTGGACTGGTTTCAGTGTGACTGGACTGGTTTTGCTCAGATGCTACAAGATTGGTCATTTATGAACATCTGAAGTCTAAAGGGATCTAATACCGTTTTCGTTTTTAATAGATCTAACTGTTATTTGTTTTTCTCATGTTTATCTGATCCCTCTATAATGGCACAAAATAGGGTGCAAGCCACCATAATGTGTTCCCTTACATTCAAAACAAATGAATGCATTCCACTATCAACTACACATTTATCCCATACAAGTTTTCTGTGAATCCAATGCAAGCAAGCAAGGAACCACCGGCCTAAGCTTGAAAGGTGAGGTTGCATCACCTTAGTTGACTTGAGGTGATGGGGAAAAACGTTTTGCCAGCCACTGGAAGGGTCTCAATAGTTGAGCCCTTTTCTTGCGCCAGAACCAAATGGCAGCATTGTATTGTTCGTTGCGAATCTTTCGTGTGGCTGCCTTCCAATCATACTTCTCCATCTCTTCACGTGCAGCATTTCCCACGGTTTCTCTCAACACTTTGTCGTGCAAAAGGGGCCTTAGTTTGCTCAAGCAGTCTTCAAGATCTCTAGGATTATACAGATAGCTGGTTTTACCATCTTGATCTGCAGGGATTATATCAGGAATACCTCCAGCACGTGCTGCCACCACAGGTATCCCTGAAGACATGGCCTCCAAAACTACAAGACCAAGTGTCTCTGACTCTGAAGGCATCACAAACACATCTCCACTAGCATATGCTTGGGACAGTTCTTCCCCTCCTAGCATTCCAGTAAACACTGCAGGCATACCTTCAAACATTTTCTCTAGCTCCTCCCTGGTAGTTAGCAACTCAAATTACTAGAAGTTGCCAAACTCCTTAAATGTAACATTCCTTTACCTATAATAAAAGTATGCCATGTGGACTAAAAACACCACCATATAGGTTATTTTTTAGAAGGAGTGCCAGAAAGTCACCTGTATGGTCCATCGCCAACAAAAGCAATTCGGGCTTCAGGAAGCCTATCCATGAGCCTGTCAAAAGCCATTAGTGCTCTTTCAGCTTTGGTACATCAATGACCAACAATAAGCAGTTTTTTATTCTCTTCCAGTTAATATTCTGGATTTTTAAGATAGAATGGAAATCTTGAGCACAAATACTTCTCCAAGTTATGCCAAATTTCACAATGATGTTCACTACCTTTTGAGAAAATCTAAACTCTTCTCTACTCCAAGCCGTCCAACATGAACTATCAAGGGTTTGTCAGGTTCACCATTGCTGTATGACAATTGTTTAAGGATAAGATAAAATGCCATCATTACCAAAACTCGAACACATATAAAAAGGGAAAAAAGAAGGTCTAAACCTTAGTCTTAACCGCATTTCATAGGAGCGGTATTGGGGATGGAATTTTTCAGAGTCAACACCCTTGTTCCAAAGCCGAATCTTGTTAGCTGGATACCAACAGGGAAAAGACTCCGTCAAAAATTTTCAGCATAGCCGCAGGCATACCTACAAATGCATATGCTCAGGTGCTATTAATAAAAGACTAGATGAGGGGATTTTATGTTCACCTGCTGTGACTCTAGCTGCTAGGAGATCCCCCGCAATGGCAGCAGATGGTACCAGAGTTAGATCAGCTGCTCTGTGAAGAAATTCTATATCAACAAACAAAATTGATGTTATGTTCACCAATATTTGAGTCCAAATTAGAGAATAAGAAAGAAAGTATACATACTTATGATCAACCACATGGGTTTCACCAACCAGCTAAAGGTATATCTAGGAATGTACCTGGAGACTAAACAAGATCAGCCATAAGCAATACATGATTTATCATAGAGCAGTTCTGACATCATAGCATCACGGTCATGTCAGAATAATTATAAGCAGAAGTAAAATGAAATCTAAACTGGTAAATACATTGAAAATCTGTAACTTGAATAGAACTCACACAGGTACATGGGTGTGATAGGACATGACAATTGGAACACACAATAGTTTTGCAATGATAAGAGCTCCAAAAACCTGAAATTAAGGCAGTATTAGATATGTAATGTGACAAATAAGTCTTTACACTACACTATCCATAATAACCCCAAAAGTTTAACAAATGAGAAGATAGAGGAATTGCAGACCAACCATTATGCCTGGCGATGATGCATGGATTATGTCAGGCTTAAACCGGGCTACCTCTGAAATTATTCTTGGACTAAGTGCCAACGAGAGGGGTACCTTCTGATACCAAGGGCAGGGAAAGCTGCATTTTTCATTGTTTTTTGGTATAAATGCAAATTCTTAGTATAAAGCATGGCCATGTTAGTTGTTGGAACATGTGTTGATTGTGTAAAAAGGCCCATAAAATGTTGCAGACATAGAAATTTGGATGATTTTAAATACAAATTCCATCATATGTTTCTCTTTCTCTTCACATAGTATCTAGAGCCTAATGAGAAACAATCCAAATTCATGTCCATTGTTCACAAGTGAATTTTCCACTAAACTGCGTTTTAAGTACAGTTGTTAGTTTTCCTTTACCAGGTCACTACAGCCAAGATTATCAAAATCGAGATTGTACCAAGGATTGGGATAGAAGTGAAAGATTGTAAATCATGTGATTAAAACATGGATATAAGATCTTACCAAAAATACAAAGTGCATTAATATATATATATATATATATAAGAACATATACATGTAATAATACCACTAAAAGAAAGTAATTTAGATATTTATTTCGTAGTTAATATCTCAATGCTCATTCCATATTTGATAGTGATTTTGAAAAGACAAAAAGGAGAGAAAGAGAACAGGAGAAGAAGCCAAAGATCCAGGAGAGGCTGTATTTCAAATTTAAGCCCAGAAAAAATCTCAACTCATGGGTTTTAGGAAGGGACAAAATGGTTGGAAAATATCCAGAAAACAGGCTAAGTAAATATTGTAATTACACTAGGATATTTGTGATTCTTGTGATTATTACATTAACTATATAATAGAGCCTCCTCTGTGTAACTCAAGCACACATTTCATCGTAAATAGTCACAATAGTAATCATACCCTTAAAGGGCATGTCAAATTGAATCAACAATACTAGGACGGGATGATAGTAGAAAATGCCAAAAATGTCTTCACATTCTAAACATTAATGCGATGATACTGGAGAAAGATAAAAAAGTTGTGATTTAAAACAAAAAATTAGTGTTACAAATAGAGCAAGGGTTGAGGAAGCGAAAATTGAACCAACAAACTAAAAGAGATCAGTGCTAGCAACCTCCAAGATCCGATTACTTTGGCACCATAAAATTCGCGGGGCACTCCCTCATGTGTTGTCACAACCATCACCTATAACAGACAAATAAACATAACTAGTTAGCATGTGATGTAAATGAAAATAAATACAGGACAAATAACACTATGACTGTAATGCGCATAAGCTATCTAATCCAAAATTTCTTAGTTTTTGGAATATTGTACAAAAACACCAAATATAAAGGAAAATAAACATGTGCATACATAGAAACAAAAGTACAAATAGTTACCTCATCTCCCATTTCACGAAGGCATCTGATAAAGTTCTGAAACCGGTTTTTGTATCCTGAGACATATCTGCAAAATAAACATAACTCTGAAAAACACATTTTTCCTGAATTCGTATGCTTGCTAATACCACACATCTTCTGAAGAATCACACATGAAAAATGCAAAGTATAGTTCGAACCCATTTGGACTGCAAAGAGAAGCTAAAACCTTGGTAGAGAAATTGTTCATCACAGTTCCTTTAGTTAATGTCTAGTTACATACATGTTCACATATACAAAACACTGTTTCACACCAAGTATTCGGAAATCTAAGATGCAGCACGATACAATTGCTAAGATCAAACTTTTCTAAGAGTGAAACTACGCTAATCCAATAGATATTGGAAAAAGACAAACAGAGTCACCTCAATCAATTTGACACAATCTGAATTCCAAAAGACTACCATTTAAATCCAACTTCATAGCAGTATATGCAATGCCTGAGTACAGTAGCAACTGTATTAAAAGACAAAAATCTGTTTATCTATTCTGTGAACAACCATAGTACGTATTATTAACATTTGCAAAAAATTGTGGACAATTGCAAAGACCTCAAAATAACAGCAACATTACCGCTAAAATTGCAGTTGCAAACTGCAACCTAAACTTATGTTGGGCCTTTCTGAGGGGATTTACTGAGGAGAAACAACACCAATGAGACATGAGTCCAATCCACATAAGAATTGACACCATTCTCAACCAAAAACCTTAAGGAATTTGATCATGGGTCATACTTCCTTGTATGTTGCTCAATTTTCTCATTCTTACTCAACGTGGACTTAATTCACACTTGGATTAACCAACAATCTCCCCTTCAAATGAGTCCCTTCACATTGGTATATCCTCTCAATACCGCCGTTCATCATAACAGAACACGCTTACTTGATCCGCTATCAGAAAAACTTTCGATACAAAAATCACTCTTCGTCTCTAATACCATTTATTGCGTTTTTCAAAGGAGATCCACGTGGAGAAACCCAACAAACTATGCCCATGTCATTTGACATAAAACTACACACTAACTCGGTCAATTCATCAAACGCCACAAAGTCAACACTAAAGCCATATTAACAAGTTGATTCATTGAGCACAGCATGACGTTTGCCCTGTTATTATGGTTCTGAAGTTGACTTCATTGCATTACATACCACACACAACATTGAACAAATGAAGAAGCAAAACAAACAAGGCAAAATGCAACGAGGTCTAAACATCAAACACTCCACATTCAATGAAGCATTAGACACTAAGCACGATCAAGACCAAACCACAAGAAACAACCAAGGGGACTCACGCAAAGGGAGAAGGCTCAACAAAGAGAGCAATTCTCCGAGGCTTTGAATTTTTCTCATTCTCGGAGCCAAGCAAAGCACCCTCGTTCTCCCCCTCTCCATTAGAATCAACCTCTGCCACGGTCACATTTCCAGCCTCAAGCACAAAACTTTTTCTAACCCTCAGAGCTTTCGACCCCTGCAAAGACCGCAACCATGCTCCTCTGCAAGAAAGAGTGATGGGTTTTGCTCCTGACGACTTCAAACGTTGAAATCTTGCAGGGTGTGGAGAAGATGATGAGGAACAAGAAAAAGGGGTAGTGGCAGACGAACAAAAGGGTGGAGAGAATGAGGGATTTATGGTGATTGCAGTGGCTTTCATGGTTGTACGAGGAACAAACTTTTGCATTTGGATAGAATAATAATATCCTGCCGAAGTGGTTGTGTCGGAAGAGGGATTATAATCCAACGAAGTTGGAAAGAAATCTCGGTATTACAAATTATGCACTTTTTTCTTTTATGTTGTCTCTCAAGGACAAATTTTTTTCCTCAACTTTAAACGGTTCACTCCCAGTGAAGAAAGTTATGAACAGGGTTATATTCCTCCCTCCTTACTGTGCAGAATTATTTCAGATTATTGAAATTTTCGCACGGATTAAGGTAGTTAGAATCAGTTAATATATGATCTATTTAATATTTTAATTTATAGATTAAGTTGGTTTGGATAAGGTAAGTCACAAACAAAAGATCTTGTGTCTTTTAACCATCTAAGAAAATGGGACAAGTAGTACCAAATTTATTGCGGTATCACATCTTAATATATAACAAAAAAATTAACCTAAATGTAAACTTTGATAAGAATATTTAACCCCTACAGTGAGACCTTAATAAATTTTTTCTACTTGTGACAATAAATTAAAATATTTTAAATCCATTTTAGATATATTTTTAATTTATAAATACTAAATATATATTTTATTCCATCGGAAAAACTTACCCACTTGATGCTCATTTTAAAATCTTCTTAGTTGGCCAAACTTGGCTTGGTGAGAGTAATAGAGTGAACCTTTGCTGTAATTCATGCCAAAGTCAATTTCAGTCATTAATGTGTGCTAACAAAAAGTGTAATGCGTTATGAAAAAAATACATAGAATAAATCCAAATTACTTAAAAAGAAATTCTTGCAACATAGAAAATGAAAATATATGGGTTATCATTCACTATCCCAAACTCCTCAAAATTCAATTTTTATATAAAAGCTCAGCAAAAGACTGAAGTAATAAAAGCCCACTACTTATGGGCTTGTGCATCATACTCTCATGGCTCTTTCTTGTATTAGGCTCCTATAAAGCCCATTATGTTCAACATGATGTAAATTGATCAATGAAATGAAAACGACAAATTTAGGGTGAGTTTATTTAAAAAAAAAAAAGGTGAGTTTGATTTATTATTAATGAGATCAATTATAAAAATGATGTTAAAATAATTTATTTAAAATTCAACATTAATGAACTAACCATGTTTAAAAATATTTTAAGAGTAATTTTAGAAAAAAAAAGATTTTAAAGTTATAATTAGTTTTTATTAAAAACATAAATTATAAAGCCAAATTTAGGTTTTGGGATATTTTTCAGGTACAACTATAAAATTTATTGGAGTAAAAATATGGAAAAGTCTTAAAAATCTAAACAATGCACGAATAGTTTAGTTTATATGTTGTGAAGAGAATTCAAAGTGATTTCCAACAATCTAGCTTGTAGTCCCACATAACATTTCTGACCAATCCAAAATCAAAGTTTGGATGTGAGAATCATATTTAGATATATTCAAATCCATATAAGTGATCGTGGTCCACGAGTCAAGATTTTCACCATCATATCATAACCATTAAAGCGTCGTTTATTTCTCATCTTTATATCACTTCAAACGCACGCTTCATGAAACCTTCCATAAGATATAATAAACCCGTTTTACTCATAATCTTATTACAAATTATGTTTCAATGATTACAGAAAAGAAAAAACTCTATTATGTAGCAGTGTCAACATTTGAAGGAGTTAGGGCACAGAGTGAAATTATTTTATGCAATTAAAGTAAAAGAAAAACTCTTTTATGCAATTTTAAATTTTTTTTTTTCTCATCATTTTATCTCCAACAAGGTTTATGACATGTAACCAACATGGTTCTGACAAAGCTGACTCCAAATGAGTGCATTCAGATAGATGGTCAGGAGAGAAGTTCTTATATTCACAGCAAAACAGGCTTAGGAAAAGTTGTAACTCATGAGAAGTTGTTAACACTTTGTTTCCCTAATATTCACGCCAACAACATATTCAAACAGATTCCCTCTCCATCTTTCTCTTTATTCTCTTTGTTGCAGAAGATATATGAGCAATGATATGATATCTCGATTTTGGATTTCAGAAACAGAAGCAAAGGGGTAGCAAAAAGCACGACCTGGCCCTGCAATACCACCTAAAAAGCAATGTTGATTGGAAGACTAATAAGCACTTCCCTGTCCTCACTGTCTCTGTTACCTCCTTTTTCAGCACACAACTGTTCAACTCTTTCTCTCCCTCTCAACTCCTCACTGCTCCACCACCACTTTCTCTTTTGACCCAACCCTTTACTGTTTTTTCCCTCCTTCTTCCTCCCTCACAAATTCTGTCACCATCTTCTTCCTGTTCCTTCTTTGTCTCAACCATTACCTTAAGAATATGCTAAACCTCCCCCTTTAATGTCTACTGTTTATTCCACATTAGCCCCATGTGTGCATGTCTCATGCACGTATATAAAAAATGAATGTACCACTAAACTTCATATTGGTTCTAACTTCATCTTACATCAAGAATATAATAATACATAATCGAGTATTATTGATTTTTTATACGTTATTAAGTGTAAAATAACCTTTTACCTTTCAACTTACTTCAAACAATATATACAAGTTTAGGACCTAGCATTCCATAATTAACTCTTTTGACCCTTAACTTTAACCCTTAGGAGTAAAATTTTCTGTTTCTCCTCTGTATTCTCGTCGCCACCCAATATATTACTCAACAAACGAAATGTTTTACTGCAGAAATTCTTAGGTAAATAGAATGTAATACAATTCTTATACCAAACGCAAACTATGTGATCTTAAGATAAATACAGGACATAGGATTGATTTTAATCTAGTTTGTAAACTTTTAACTTTTTACTAGGTAGCTTGTTTGCTTGAATTGATTGATCTATATATACTCCTATCCAAGTCTCTCCTCTCACAAACATTCCACTCTGCTTCTCCTCCTCTCCTCTTTGATTCCATTTCTCTCTTTCCCTTCCATTCACCACACACACAAACTAGAAAATCTAACCCAACAATCTTGTGGACTATTAGTATTCTCCTGAAGTTGTTCAAATGTCTAGAAAGAGCAAAAGGGTGTGCTTTAGTCCTGAAGTCAATGACAAACTATCCATCTTTCTCAACAAGCACAGCGATGGTGGCGACAACAACAAAGACGATGGTAGAGTTTCAAGAAACAGGATGAGGATCACCAGAACATGTACGTTCAGATTGCATATGGACACAAACTCTTCTCCGGTGAGGTTGCTACTGAGGCTAGGAGAAAAGGTGGCAAGTGCTATAAGAAGTGTTTCTGTGAGAAGGAGATCCTCCAGGAAGGTTTCGTCATCCACTTTGATGAGGTCACGTTCATTATCAGACCTCACTGATTCACATCGAGCTGAAACTGTAGAAGATTGCATTGAGTTCTTGCATTCCTCTTCATCTAGGGAGAGACTAAGTTGAGTTGAGTCTTGAATCTCAGTGCAAATTCTCCAAGTTCTCTAAGCTTTCTACTTGCATGAGAATTCAGATTTGTGTATTAACTGCAGAAGGGTATGCTTTAAAGTTTATTGGTTTCAATTAACATGTTTCATGTGTAAGGAAAGAGAGGTTAATCCTTTGTGCGCCATGTTTTGTATGAGTCGAGTGTAGAGGTTCTGATATTAACATTAGCCCAAATCATAGTTTTAAATGCAGATTGTAGCGTTGCATTGATAATAAGACATTGTTGGACCTTCTAATTCCCCATGTTTAATCATAGGTTGATTATCAAACTTTCACTCTTCCTTTATTTTTCGCTAAACAATGATAAAGGAAACAATTCATCACATTTCTTCGCAATGAACTGTTGGATAGAACATTTGTTTTTTCACAACCTCGCAGATTATGGCACAATCAAATTCTTCGCTTACCTGCTATATATGTATTTTTTATTTTTTTTTTCAATTGATTAAAACAAGGGACAAATACAAAAAAAATGATGTCCAATGAATCAATTGTTTGATCTTATTATATTATATGCAAACAAATGTTTATTATTACTCCAAGTAAATTACACTGATCAGAAGTATCCCGAAATTATATAAACACATATTTTATTTTTTTAACATTTGCATAGATTATGTCTTATAGGATATAATATAATGTTTTTTCAAATAATTAATAGAATTTAATATATATTATTTCTATATAGTTGATTTCTCTAAACTATATTAATTGAGATTTGATTTGTAGCAACATAGAAAGACTTAGTTAAGAGAAAATACCTAATCTATCTACTTAAGAACACCAAAAAGGCTAGACATATGCATTTAATAGATAATTGATTTCTCTAAACTATATCAATTAAGGTTTGATTCTAGCAATATAGAAAGACTTTGTGAAGAGAAAATGTACCTATTTTGATAATCTCTCTATTTTAGAAGACATTGATGATAGGGTATTATCAATTGGGTGATACTCATGTCAATGAAAAAACAAAATTCCCCATTTTTTAGTGAGTTCAAAGAAGATAACTATTGTAAGTAAAAGTAAGGTATAAGTTGAACTTATTACTCTCTAGATGAAATAGTGCATGAGAATATTGTTGGTGAGTATAACATGATATTTGTATTGGAACATTACATGAGATGAAGGTATGAGCCACTCATGACTACCCCACATGGCAGACAGAGGAGCATTCTGGTGTATGTATGCTTCTTCTATTCTGTCCAACATTTGGAAAGCCTATGTCAACCATATCTAGCAAATCACCAAGTGTACCCTATTCATATCAACTTTACACCAACCCTTTGACCATCAAATGAAAAATTCCACCCAAATTCCCTATTCCCAGAAAAAGAATCCAACAATATGCAATACAAGTCACACTAGTGCACTTAGTTGTTAAATATGAACTACGATGTGATTTGTCACTAGGTGTGGGTGCGTTACACCCCACCAACACAAACTATGACATGACTTTCTTGAAAAATGTTTAAACGGAGCTTACACTATGAAATATAATAATACACACTCTGAATAATAAGCATCAACTTTCTGTAACCTCACTTTATCTCACTTTGAAAATGGTTTTGAATATAAAAATTAGATTTAATTAATTATACTTTTATTTTTTTCTGATTTAGTCTGTAGAAAACTTTTGTTTTTCTAATTTTCATTATTTAACTTTGGTTTATACATTTAAAAAGTATAATTTTTTTCCTCATTTTTTTAATTGTTCAATTCTAGTCTGCTTAAAAAAAACAATTTTACTTTTGATGTTAACTTATTACATGATTTTTAATAGACGTGCAATGAATCCCGGTAAACTAATTGAATTGAACAATTTTTGTATCACATAAACATCTATGTAAAATTAATTATTAAATTTTAAAAATTATACAATCAAATATAAATGTCAAATAATTTAGTATAAATAAATTATAAAATATATTAAGAAATAAAATAAAACTATATATTGTCAAACTAGAAATGAATTAGTTAATTGAATTGTTTCATCATCAAAATTGTTGAAAATTGAATGAAAATAGTTGGACTTTTTTTTTTAATTTTCATATTAAAATCTAGTAATTAAAATTGTTTATTTTTCAAAAATATAGATTATATATAGTTAAACAATTCAAACTATAGAAACTAAAATTATCCATGTATTAAATTATATAAACTAAAATTATAATTAAACTTAAAAGTTATAATTTGAAATACTCTTTTCAAAACAGAAGGAAGTAAGTAAAAAAAAAATAAATATATTGGATGAAAGAAAAAATGGTCCAAACGTAATTAGTAAAATGTGGTTTTTTCCCAGGTCTGGTGCAGTAGTTGCAAAGCCCCATGAAAAAGGGTACAAAAGAATTGACCCAACAATTGTTTCCTTGTGACAATTTTACCTTTGCTCTTTTTTTTTTCTGCCTTGTTTTTGTCGAAAGAATTTCACTAAAGCAACAGTAACATCATGATCATCATCCAGTGTAACAGTAGTAAACTTGGACTGTTACACTAAAAAGAAGAACAAGTTTTTTACTTAGAAAACTGTAACAAAAAAATCTGACCACCTAGGTGCATGCAAATTGCAAAGCAATAATGATGCAGGAAATAATAAAAAAGTGTTAAGTGCTAATGTTCACACGTTTAGTAATAATTATCATCCACTAATGATATCATGTAGCAAGAAAACAAAAATTCCAGATGGCATTATGAACAAACAGTGCATGTCATGATCAAGAATCCAATGAGACATTTTCTGGTTATTGGGTTCCTCCACTGGAAGCTTTATTGAACTGCATAATGTAGGGTACATTCTTGAATAAAACATCATGAGTCTTTCAAAATGTGTTTCCAATTAACAAAGACCTTATATGTTTTAAAGCTGTCAGAGACCTTCATAAAAGGTTTAAGATTGGCCAAGCCTTACTTATGCCAACACCTATGCATTCATATATTGTTTTAGACGCCTCTTATACTTAACAACAGCATATATATGTTATTTTTTTTTGTTGGGTTAGGTGCTAGTTTTTTATATGTTCCTCAAGAATCTCAAGTCATATCTACAAAGAGAATCTCTAGATTTGTTCTACCAATCTTGGTTTGTGGTACGAGAAGGGATATAGTTTTGATTTTGATCTTGTGGAATATTGATCTTGTGGAATATTGTGATACTGATTTTGTCAGAGATAAAGTCGAATAAAAAGAAAAACACAATCGAAAAATGTCAAGTTCCCGGAAAAGTAATTGTAAAATATAAAATTCATTTTATAATTTTATTGATATTATTTTTATACATAGATACTATCATCTTATAATATTTTACTTCAATAAATTAGAACTAAATAAAATAAGTTTTGATTATATAATATTTTGTACCACTATACAAACCTATAATCTAACTAATCAAATATCTTTATCCCTACAGTTTCTCTCAAGTTAGTAAATGAATGTCATACATTCTCAACTTGTCCAATAATCTCTTAAAAATCTGACTTGTCAGAGTTTTGGTAAGAATGTTTATCACCTGATCTTCAGATTGAATATTTGACAATTCCAGAATATTTTTATCAAGCTTTTCTTTGATGAAAAATCTATCAACTTCCACATGTTTCATCTGATCATGTTAGACAGGGTTGTAAGCAATGTCACACACAATTTTATTATCACAATACAACTAAATGAGACGTGTATATGCATACCCTAAATCCTGAAGAAGTAGTCTGAGTCACAAACCTTCACAAAGTCCAAGAATCATTCCTCTAAGTTCAGTTTCTGCACTGGATCTAACTACAATTTTCTGCTTCTTGTTTTTCCATATGACAAGATTACCTCCTACAAATGTAAAGTATCTAGAGGTTGATCTTCTATCATCAAGAGCACCTGCCCAATCTGCATCAATATAAATCATCATATCCTTGTAGTTGGAGTTCTTCTTGAACATAACTCATTTTCCATGAGCAACTTTTATGTACTTTAAAATTCGTATAACAACATCCATGTGTTTTGTGTTTTTCACCTGGATTGTGTATGAACTGACTAACCACACTAAGAGCATAAGATAAATCTGGTCTGGTGTGTGAGAGATACACCAATCTCCCTACAAATCTCTGATATCTTCTCTTGTTAGTTGGAGTTTGATATTCTTCAATACACAACTTCAATTCCGTTTCAATTGGAGAATTTGCTGGTTTGCATGCTGTCATTCCAGTTTTGTGCTTCATAGACATCAGTAGCCATCTTTTCACTTTTTGGTCCTTCATGATTACTTTATCACGATGACCCAATTTCCTAAAAGTCTCAACCAACTCCCCATAATATTCAGTTAAGGTTCTATTATTTTGTTTTGCAGTGAATGCCCTTTGATTCAGGGCAAACACCTATAGCTCATCACTTCCATCATAAAACGTCTTTGACAAAACATTCCAAATATCGAGGGCAATGAGTAAACAAAGATATATTTTCATGATTTCTGACTTCATGGACATCAGTAGTCATCTTTTCACTTTTTGGTTTTCAGCATACCATTTTTCATATCTTTCATCTTTCTCTATTGGAGGTTTCACCTTCCCACGGATGTAGGACAATTTTTCCTCCTCTGCAATGTACATCTCCATTAGTTGTGATCATACGTCATAATTGAATTCATTTAGGATGATGTCTACGTTGAAGATACTTTCAAATTGAACAACCACTGGAATTAGTTTTTCTGTCATCTCTCTAGTTAAGATCTTCAAGGATTTAGAAAGAAAAAGAAAAAAATTATAAACTCTGGTACCAAATTGAAAAATATAGAATTAATTCTATAATTTTATTCATATTATTTTTGTACACATATACTAAGATCTTATATTATTTTACTCCAATAAATCAGGACTAAATAAAAGAAGTTTTGATTATACAATATTTTGTACCACTATACAAACCTATAATTTAACTAATTAAATATCTTTATCCGGATAAAAATCTCTTAGGATGTAAAAAATGTTAAAGAAATGGAGTGCATGTTAACAAGTTGTTTTTCATAAATATTATGAAACAAACGCTCAAATTTAAGTGTCTGTTTCACATGGCTACTCTACTTCTTTACACATCCAAGAACAGAATAATGTAAGTTCTTTGTACACTTGCTGATGTTTGAAGTGTTTGTTAGATTATGACTTTTTTCTTTTTTTTTTCTTCCTGTTCGTTAGTTCCGCCACTGATTAAAAAGATAATCACAAATAGTAGACTATATAATATTCAGATACAGTTATAAAACAAACACTCAATTATATATATATAAAAAAACTGAAAAAATAAATGTTAAAAACTACTTATATATTCCATACATATATAAATATAATTTTATAAAATTAACTCGAATGTTTTTCATTTGCATTAATTTGTAAATTTCATCAATTTATATATTCTTATTGATTTTATTATATTTTATTAATTTCATTTTGTATGTATAAATTTTTGAATGGTATGATAATTTAGTTACAACAGTTTCATTTGATGTTTGATTTTACTAATATTGTTGTGTATGCTTAGTTTTCTATTTTATGTTTCTTTTTTGAATGGTATGATAATTTAGTTACAACAGTTTCATTTGATGTTTGATTTTACTAATATTGTTGTGTATGCTTAGTTTTCTATTTTATGTTTCTTTCCCCGAAACTCTCTTTATTTGCTTTTCTTCTTCTTTTGTATTACTGAGGGATACATATGTAGTCAATGATCCCTCCACACACTTCTCACAATTCTTCACGCCACTTTCATCTCACATCGTCACACTTTCTTCTTTCAAAACACACTTTAAACCATCTTAGCACCATTATTATGATTATAAATCCCTTATCCAACAACCACACAACCATCATATTCGTCATTATTACTATCATCAACATTGAGACTCAAAGAGCCACTCCAACTTCATCCTCATTCCATTCCTCTTTTATGCATAAACCATGATTTAGTTCCATAACAATGAACACACTCTGTTGTTTGACAAGTGGAGAGGTAAGCAAGCAGAGATCAATATTTTTTCCTTGAAGATACTTAAACACATGATTCCACAGAGGGTTAGGGTTTTACAACCTTATGCCATGGTAGAGACTTCTGCATGTAATGCAAACAAAACCACCTTTACTTCCATGGATCAGAGTTTTAGAGAAAATGCTTTAATGTTTGTTTGGACAAGTTTTGCTATAAAATGGTTTAGCTATTTGATAAGCAGGTTCGTTTTCCGTGTGTCCTCTCAATTATTTTAGAAGTGATTTTTATTTCTTCTATGAAAGTAATGCTTTGTTGGAAATAGGACAGGATATGATGTGGTTCCTTACTAAAATTTGCTTCATAAAACAGATCTTCATTATAGTCAAACCAGATAGTAGTTTTATTTATATAGATGACTGAAGAAAGCAATAGCTTTGTATTTTAACATGAAATTAATTGTAAGATTATGGAGGGACTATAATTATCATATATTCATAGTTATGCTAGATACATTCTTCTAAAGGAATGATTTCTTCGACACTTTTCCATCAAATGTTATGGCCGTTAGTTATGTAAATGCAGCGGCTTCAAATTTCTTGAATACCAAGTTACCTATTGATAAAATAAAGTAAATATTCTTGTTCATGGGGATGGAGATCTTATCAATTTAATTCGTAACTTCTTATTCTGTAGGTAATTCTTGGCTTGGCTTAATCTGTAGGTCAAGTGAATCATCTGGTGGTAGGCCTTTTACAATCAAGAAGAGTTCTATAAATTTGTTGAAAGCGACAACTTGATTACTAACCTTAGAGACTGATTTGACTCTGTAACAGAAAAATGTGCTTTAAAACACCAAGCATTTGGTGTTTCATTTGATTTGATTGAATGAAATTTTTGTAATTATGCATTAGAAGTGATCTCTTTTAATCATATGGCATGCATGCCTAGCTAATGTTGTTTATGCTTCTACCTCTGATGAGTGAAGAAACAACTTGCTATTGAAGACTCTACATGCTAGTATAAAGGGCTTGTTGGAGGCATTTTTGGAGTTAAGATTAGGCCATGCCATGCCATTATTCTATGACTGGTCCGTGAAATTCAAACCGGATGTTTTATCAGGCTGAAAAGGCTACTGTAATTCAATTATGATCAGTGTTTGGAAGTGCTATGAAGATGGCATTTTGTTAGTTTATTAGAGGCAACTTATTTTCCGCCTGAGACTGTATGTTGTAACATTTGTTTATCGGTGTTTTTTACAACGATTTTGGAGTTTTATACTCATAAAGTTCCATCGTTATGATTACTTAATCATGAAGACTAATCAAAATTTTAAAAAAAGGTGATGGCACCAAAGACAGGAATATAGTCTCCAAATTTAAATGATAGAATAATTAAGCCTCGTCTCGTCCCTAGATGAATGAGGATTAAACTGGTGACTTGTAATATGTGATAGCCTATCTTATCTTGCATGATTAGCTCCTCAGGTTAATCGTGAATACTTTAATATTAATTAAAAGAGCAAGTAATTTGCTTATAAGTTTAAATAAATAGACACTAGTTAGAGGCATCACTGACCAACCCTGTGACCAACCTGGTATGAGGTTCTTTCAGTATAATAAGTGATTGAGTTTGAATCTTGGATTTGTTAACTGTGTTGAATATTTAAAAGGAAAACATAATCACTTGTAATGGTCTTATCTAACTTGAACGCAATGTCTCTCATCAATTATACATGTGACTGCGTAAAAAACAATCAATAGGCAGAAGTTTACGAAAGAATCAAAACTCTTAACACTTAAAAGTGTACTTCGACAAATAACAGTGTCCAAATAAGCTTTTATTTGCCTCCGAATTGTCAGTTAGATCCAAGTACAGAAACTAAATATTCAATCAAACACGATCCTATCAGAAATTTTAGTCCAGGGTAGCACAGTCTGGCACTTCCACGTGCTCATTGAACTGTCTCAGTAGTTTCATTAGTCATTGAAGAGTACACACAATGGCCAAAAGGACCCTAATCCTCTAGCTTTCTCTGAGGAAGGAAGGACCACAACCACTTGTTATTTCATCCACAAACAGCCCCTCTAGCAAGTTAGGTTCAGCATGTAATTGGCACACACAATTTTAGTACCTTATGTTGTATTTTGAAAGAAATTTTCCCAACATATCTGTGATCGATACTGTATGTATTTCATAGCATAGCAGGCTTGAACGTGACATTAAATTTAGATATTTACAATGGTGTTGCAGCATTATTATGTTTGCTGTGACTGCATTAATTCTGCAGTTATCACACTCCACATGATTGTTTCTTGTGGTGCATTGCGACCACTTCACCCTTTCATCATAATTTTTCTCTCTTATCATACATGCCATAACATTTATTAAGATTAGTTTCAACCAAAACTGAAAACCCTCATAAATTCAATGCCTATCATGGGGAAAAAGCTACTGCTTCTTGGAGTGGTGATTCCTTTGATGTGACATATCACCTTGTAAAGCAAATGAACATATGTACTTACATTGCAGTTTTCAACTTCTCAACTTCATGCTAGGAATGGTTTCTTGTTTTATACCATTTATTTTTTATGGGAATAGCATAATGTATTTTTTGTAAATTTATTCTTATCTTAAGTGAAACATTTTAAGAAAAATCGTAATTAACCTTTTCTTGTAAAAGTATTTTTGACAAAAAATGAATAAAATAACACATGTACTAGATTGTTCATCATTTATCTAAACCTGTAATTCCCTTTCTCCCTTGTACTAGATATTGAATTTTGAACATTTCAAGCATCAACAAAGGCATGGAGACTCGGGCAGTTGATTTTTTGGTACAAAGGCCTGAATCTACATGTAATTATAGAGGTCTCTGTCTATCCATTGACTCAACTGCATTCCAGTGCCTTTATTTTGCATAAACTAATGCTAAGTCATCAAAATGGGGGAAGGACTTCTTGAACAAACCTTTAGCATTTCAACGTGACCGTGTTTCAAAAGTTAGGTTGGTCGGTTGTGGTAACTTTATTCATATTTTCAGACCAAAAGTTTGATATGGCTTGAATAGCTGGTGGGTAGAGAAAATCTAGAGATAATTGCTAATCAAAACCAAATAAATAAATTTGGTGCACCACCAAATGGGATTTTGATAAATGAAAACTTGATTATTTTACTAGTTATTTTTTCTTCTTACACGCTAGTTTAATTCCAGACGAAATGAGATTAGTTAACCCCATTTACAAATTTCCATGTTAAGATATTTGTACTTCACAATAATTTGTTATATTAAATATATAGAACTATTGCATCAGAATATCCCCATAGTGTTATCTGATTCGTGAAGCACATTTAGTTATCAGAGCATCAATGTGCATGCATATATACAAGTTAGCTCTGCTGCCGCTGTGACCCAAGTCTTTGTTAGTGTTTTTTTTATTTGACAGTTTGTCTTATTTCCATTAGTCCCTACCAATTCATTTGAGTAAGACCCCTCATCATAAAATTAGGATAATGTTAACTTGTTATGTCATATGTACATTTACTACCATTAAGGCATATTTATCTTGGTTTAGACATGCTTGTCAGCCTTCTAGCTGGACTTGCCTGCAAGTAAATGATACTACAACAATATAACATTACTACTTTATTGAAAGTCAATGCACCTTGTGAACCCATGTGCCATATGTTTGTCTGTCCTCAATGTTGTATACCTATTTCATATTCATACTGACACAGACTATATATGTAAAAGTAAAACCTCATACAGTCACGAACTGAGGTAGAAGGACAAAAAAACCCTTCAGGACTGACCCAATAACAATAGTTATGATTTGTATATATCAAAATAATAAAATATACATAAACTGTTTAATTTTCCTTTATCAGCCACAATCAGATTTTATTTCTATCATAATTCTATGTGTTTTGGAAACAAACACAATGGCACCAATACACAATAATCGAAAGGGAGAACTTTGTCCCTCTCTCTTTCAAGCTTTCTCTTTAGATGGAACTGTCCCATCTGTTCCTGCAAGCATGGCATATTTGCTCTTCCTTGTCAGATTGGTGCACTCAAATCCCAAAGTCCCTGCAAGAACCCTTTGAATGTAGTTTGCCACTTCAATTGCGGATTTACCTCCACTGCATGTGAGTTCTTTCGGAAGCTGGTTTAAGAAAGTGATCTCATATGTGGGCATGGGATTCATGAACACAAAGTAAGGGTCCAACAACTTGTGTCCACGAACCGTTGTCCCATAAAACACACTTTGTTTTGTGTTAATAGCAACTGGGACAATTCTATCAGTAAGTTCAGCAAAGAGTGCACTGAACCTCAAGAGGAAAGGCTCTCTACAAGTTGTACCTTCAGGGCAGATCACCAAGTCCCCTTCCTCAAGAAGTCTCTTGATATTGGCTGCATCTCTCTCTCTTTCCCTTGACAGGGCCACAGCTTTAATTGGTGAAATTATTTCAGTGAACTTGCTTATACTATATGTGACACAGCTAATTTTTCTTCCAAGTGCAACTGCAGTAACCACTGGATCTAAAACTGTGCGGTGGTTACAAACAAATAGGACTCCACTTTGACCCTTCTTTGGGGGTGGTGGAGGGGTACCCTTCACAATAACTCTGATGCCTAATAGCTTGTAGTTGTACCAAGCAATTCTTTCAGGCAAAGGGATGTTCAGATAGACCCTCAGGATGGAGAGTATGATGCCAATTGGCAACCATAGGAAGGTCAAGAGAGCAGCAAGAGGAGTTGGCCTCTGAACAAACCTACCCTCATGAAAAATAATTGGACTTAAAAGCTTGTTTCTTGGTAGTGGTTCACGCTTAGTCCTTGGCACCATGTACCCTTCCTGCAGGAGAAAATACAGTTAATGACTTGATTGGCCTCATGACAAATGATAGTAAGTAGTGACACTGTTTGAGACACTTTAATGATTTGGTTACCAAAAAATGATTTTTTTTACTCCCTCAAGGTTGTATACACTTTGGGAAGGTGAAAAGAAAGACAAAAGGAGAATTGAGAAAAAGTAACAGATGTGATAAAAAAAAAAGGTAGAGAAGACAGAGAGGACAAAAGATAGATGTAAAAATTCAGAGATGAAAAATTTATGATCGATTGATTAATGTCACGTGTGTCCCACTAAGAAAAAACGTGTGGACAGTTTTTCTTATTGGCGACCATATGAAATCATCCAACCGTATATGTTAATAAAAGTGTGTTGATGACATCGCTCTTTGATTCATATACTGAAAGCAATCATTAGCACTATTTCCATAAAATTAAGTTTCTGACGATGGCTTACTACCTCTGGAAATTATCACTGTATTGATCTAGGATTCTGGATATCTTTGTGCTTCCAAGATTTCAAACTATGCTAAAATTACTATAGTGTTAAAATTACGGAAGTCGAAAAATCAGAAAGTACAGTTAGTTGAGTTTTTTAGACTAAGTTGAGGGGAATGTCACAAGGATTGTGCTTACTAAATAAATGATGATTTGCCATGCAAGGATGCTTTACACCTCTTCATATCTTCTACATGAGTTATTACCAACAGGGCTCTGGGTTGTGCATGTGAAACTCCTGTTAGTCTACGTTCCTCGGTTTGGAAAGTGAATTTAGTTTGTGCAGGCAAAATAACAAGTGGGGAAACTAAATATTTGTAGTGTTTGTAAGTAGTTAAAGGTTATGACTTATGAGATAAGAACCCAAGAACTGAAAAGCATAGAGAACTCAAAACTGAAGCTGTTATAAGTTGTATGGAATGTAGAGGGACCACTTGTACGTTCGTAAATATATTGGAAAGAAGGAACAAAACCAATCAAGGAGAGAAATTTTCAAGTGCCGCCAGTGATCGATAACACGGAAGCAGGAACAAGAAAAGAGAGGCTCATTGTAAGTGATAACAACCCTCCATGCTCATTAACGCTCTCACCAAACATCAATTCAATATTAGATCAAATATATTACTATAAAATATTGGAAGAGAAAAAAAAATTACCACAGACCAATGTAATTAGTGGACCAACCTTGCAAATCGACATGAAATGATGATCACTTTTACTATCTCCTAGTCCCAAGTCAGGTGAATTACCCTGAAACTCCTTCACAACAGCAACTTTCTTGTGCTCCCCAACAAGCACGCCAGGCTCCTTAACAAACCCAGTAAACCTTCCTGATTTGGTGACCTCAAGTTCGGTCCCAAGCACCTTATCAGCCCCAAGAAACGTCTTCACAAAGGGCTCTACCATCACCCTGGGGCTGGCAGTGACAATGTAACGCTTCCCAAAGGAGTTGAACACTCTCCAGGCGTCGGGGTGCACGTCCTCGGCGTAGAACTTGGGCAGCACCGAGCGTGCGACCATCTCAGCGTCCCTGACCTTCACCCCTGCGAAGGCCATGAAGATGAGGAACTTGATGGCTGCAACCTCGGAGACGAAGATATAGGTGAAGTAGACGAGGGGGGCGGAAGCGAGGAGGAGGAGGGCACGCAGGAAGCTGCCTGCCTCAATGGCGACGAGCATGTAGTAAGGGAAGGCGCTGGGGGAGAGGAGTAGGGTGCCATCCAAGTCTGAGGCGACAGTTTGGTGTGATCGGTGTTCTGTGGTGCACTTGGAGAGTGGGTGAAAGTGGGGAAAGGCTCCCATGACCATGAGAGGGAGAGGAGAAGATTAAGGGAGGGAAGGAGAGTGAGATGTGGTTGGTGTGATGGTGGGGAAGAAGAGGGTAGCCAGGTTTCAAATGTTATGAGAGAGGGAGGGTGAAGAGGGGGTTTTAAAAGGAGAGGAGGTGGTGTTGTTGAACCATTTTCTGCATGAATTATAATCAATATTGTATGGGCTACAGTGATTATAATACTTTATATAGTCTTAAAAGAAAAGTTAAACGAGGAAGGGGTTGTGGTTAAGACTTTATCTACCCTTTCTCTTTTATTTCATCTATACAAAATTAATGCTTATTAATTTATATTATCAAACCTTGTCATAGATCAGTTTGTCTTTTTTTAGTTATAGGTATCAAATAAATAGTGACAACAAGTTCTTAGCAATAGTGATTAAATTAAATTATATGTAGGAAAATGTTAGTATAATACATTTAAACAAACTCATTCATAGTTTAGTATTGATATGGAAAATAAAAGTGGATGAATGAATGTGTGAAGTTTTTTTCTAACATAATTTATTTCAGCATGATCAAATGATACAAGTCGTTATTACAGGTATTAATCAATGTCGGAAAAAGTAGTTTAATAATATTTATAAAAATAACTAATTTACAAAATATAAACATTATTTATATTTTTTTTCGATTAATATCAAATTCTTTAATAGAAAATACACATGTAAATGCTTTTCTCAAATTTTCAACACAGATATTTGAGATTTATATATATATATATATATATATATATATATATATATATATATATATATATATATATTTGAATAATTTTCTATATGTTTTCTTTTAATTGGAAAACATAACATTAAAATATGTGAATAATTCCCATTTAAATTGTACACAAAACAATAACTAAAACTGAGTTTTAATTACAATAATAATTAAGTCTAGGAACAATTTTTGGAGTACAAATCGTCAAAAATCATAAAAATGGGGTGGAGGTGTTCAAGTAATGATAACTTTTTACATAGAAGTGGTTGAAAATCAAAAATAGAAACATAAAGTACAAAAATGATAATAAAATATTTATGGTAAGAAAAAAGTATCGGCCAAACGAAAAACATTGCATAAAAGGAACTTAATCTCATAAAATAGTAATATCTCAAAATGGAAAGTATTTAATTCCCAAAATGAAAGAATAACCACTAACACTTATATACTGTCATGCAATAACAAGTAATTATATAGACTAAATTTATCAACCAACCATATAAATAAAAAAATATTTTACACTCTCAAAATAAAACAAACATATATGAAATCCAATTAATGGTTTAGTAAGTACGTGCAAAATTCAATATAAAAAATAAATAAATCGTACATGATTGATACGAATACGAATAAATCCTTGAAATTATATAATAATAATAATAATAATAAATGGATTGTGTGGTGTGAGAGACCCTTGTATTATTTTTTTTAATTAAGTGAATGTCGTATTCTAAAGGGTTCTCTTGGGTAGAATTAGGTTTACTGAAAAGGGTATCGTCAAGTGTAAGAAACTTAAGAATCTGTGGAATGGCAAAGATATTTGATTAAAGAAAAGTAATTTTCGATGATATTTAGGGTTATTAGTGACGAAAGTGCGAAGAAAGGGTTTGAAAAAGAAATGGTGGTGTTTTATAAAGGAAAGGGTAAAAGAAAGTTGTATTAAGTGGTTGAGTGGTTGGAAGTGGATACATTGAATTGAATTAGCCTACTTTTTAGTTTCTTGACGCCGTCGTTGCTCCCTCGAACAATCAACCCACCCTCGGCTTCCACTGCTCTCAAGCCGCTAACATTTTCCTTTTTACCTTTTTTCTTTTACTTCTAAAACAGCACAAATTCCTTTTTATTAAAACCCTAAATTATATATTTTTTGGTTTAACGCATGTGTCTGTCTGCGTCAAGAATTCCGTCCACAAATTGGCCCCTACAAAATCATCATTAAGGCCTCTAACAACCACTCCCTACCATCCCACGTACCCCCCCACCCTACAACCAATTTCCCATTCTAACATACCAACAACATTTGTTAACTACACCACCATCTTCTTTTCCTTCTCTCTCTCTTCTTCTAAAGCCTCTACTTTTTAAGACTCGTCCAAAATCTCCATGCAACCCAATTCACAAATTACACCTATGGTTACCTACCCACCCTAACCCTTTTTCTCTTTACTTCCTAATTACTTCCACACACAGATATGCAACGTTCATGGTTTTCAATTCACATCATCGTAAGGTACCAAAATCAATCATATGTAGTTTCTAATTTTGCTTCCTATAACATATTGGATGAGTTAATTAGTGTGTGTTTTAGAAATTTTGTTGATGTGTTAAGAACCCAATTGTATTCTTCATTCCGGAAACAAAGTTAATTACTCAGAGTTTGATTCTTTTTTAAGTATGTATATTGGCAGCTTTTAAACCTGTAATAAGCAACGTAATTGATCAGAGACATGTGTTGCAAGAACTCGTATATATAAGATTAACCATGGTTGGTTAAGGTAATATAATTATGCTGAAATTTCGATAATTGATGGTAATAAGTTATTTTAAGTAATTAATGTGTTGAAAATTATCATAAAAATAAGTTCTTTAAACAAAAATTAGGCTCCGATAATGTAAAATCATTTTAGACTATCACCAAATGAAAAACAAATGTGTATGATAAATTTGTTGACTTTTACATTAATTATTTTAAATGTTATGTTAAAGATAATTTTTTTTACATAAATAATGCATGATGGTTTAACTTAAAACAAAAAAATGAAAGAGTTGAGAGTTTTCGTATTCTTCTTCTTATTTCATTTTATTCAAAAGTTCTCTTTCAATTCCAGACTCTACTTGTATCAATCAGGTATATAAGAAACCTTTAATTTCGAGAACTATAAATAGTTTTAAAAAAGAAAAATGGTAGAAACAGTTTTTGTCCTATTTGTTGATTTTTTTTGAAAATCATTAAATTAGGAGCCTCACATGTAATTTTAACTAACTCCTTTCATATATTTTTTATTTTCAATAAATTCTAACCAACAAAAGAGTGTGTTTAGAAGTATTAGTAGCCCTAATATTTTAAAAGAAATCAAATAGGCTTGCCAAATAAATAAAATAAAAAGTAACCTTTTCAGAACAAAACCCAAATAATAGTCTAAAATATTTTTATATATCTTGTACTGTATCAATATGCTTTGATGAAAGAAATAAGCAAAATGTTATAATAATATGTAGAATAACCATAAATAGTTGTTACACTTTTGGTTTCCTTTTCAAATTAGTTAAACAATCTAAACCCATCATCTTATTTTATGTCTGAAATCCAAAACTGTTATAAGGATTTTTATTTTTTTTTTCTTCTAAAAATGTCCTGGAATTTAGGGCAACTTGACCTAAGAGATTTGTCAGAACTAGTTATTACTACATATATTGATTTTAAAATAATTTTATTTTCAACCATTCTTTTCAAAGAATCACATTGTAAACCAAAAAAAATATAATAAAGAAAAGAATAACAGCCTATTAATAGTATTATTTTTTTGTGAATAATGTATTATTTATTTTAGAATTAACTTTTGTTATTCTCAAAAAAATTGCTAATTATTAGACAAAAGTTTGCACATGAATTCAATATAAAACCACCAATATTTTTGAAAAAAAAAACAATAAATATGCTGATTATTTTGTTAATATCTGAATTTATAATAAATTTTATTTATTTGATTTTTTATTATTAGTGATGAATTTTTTCTGTAACTCACATAACTTCTTCTAACTTATATTTGGCATTTCTCATTATGATGCTTAGCTGAGTTTATAATATATATATATATATATATATATATATATATATATATATATATATATATATATATATATATATATATATACACACACACACACATATAACATAAACAAAAGCTAAAACTAAAATACAATATAAACAAAATGTAAAACTTAGATACAAAGTAATAACTATTCACAACTTTCTCTAACTACCATTGAAATTTTATTATCTCAGTATATCACATATAAAATATTCAATTAAATATCATCAAATATAAAATTTAATTTTAATTAAAAACCATTCAATATTTTTACAATAATTAATAATATAGACAATATATTTTAAAAAAATTAAGCAACTAAAATTTTTATCATTTTATTTATTTAACTACACTTATTTATTATTTATATAGAAAATTTAATTACGAGAAAAATAATTCTTTTTCTTTTATAAATCAATCATTCTATCTTGTTTTTCTTTTTCTTCTTTTATAAATATATTTCACTAATTTAAAAAAGAAATACATAGTTGCATTTGCGTTTTATTCAACCATAAAAAATGAGAGTATAATTTATTGTTTCAAATCACACATCCTTAAGGAGATTCACCACTGATAAAATAAATTTTACTTTTTAAAATTTTAATTCAAGTAATAATAATTTTGAATATGTTGATAAATATTCTACATAATATATTTATTTTTATATAATAACTAATTTTTGTTGATTGATTTCTTTGGTATAAAATTTTTGGTTCACTCCTATTTTTATAATAAATAGGTTCATTATCAAATTAATTTATAATATATATATATATATATATATATATATATAAAATAATATTATTTATATTTTTATTTAAAATAATTATTAATTATGAAATAAATCTGTTGATAACCCTATAAATGTAGGTGATAATTTAAAAGATGCAAAAGATAAATTTTTTTAATCTAATCTGACCTATTTCTTAAATGTTTCAACCGTACTCATGAGAGTATTTTAATTCTTCCTCTAACCAACTAAAGGGCAGTAGTTAGGTATGATTTTAATATTTTGGGTAATAAGCATCCCTATGATGCAGCCATGGTCCATATCCTTCATCATATATTAATATTAAGTTTCACAATTATTTTTTCTTTCGTAATCTATTTTCATTTATAAGCTCAAACAAATCATCTGATCTCAGCACTGTTTGTGGGCGTGCTTTATA